GTTTGATTACACAACACCTTTTTCCCTTTTTTTTTTTTTTTTTTTTTTTAAATCCTCCAAAGCAGAGACAACTCTACCTATCTCCCCCCTCTCCTCCCCTGTGCTGGCTGGGAATTGTCAAGTGACAACCGACCAAATCCTTTTGGACAGGAAGCCTTCATCCTGAGTTCTATATACTTGCAAAACAGGCCTTGTGGTTGGATCAGGGAGCCCATTAAAAGCACTTTGATGGTATGGAAATTCATCTTCATGAAGCTCCTAGGCCCCTAAGCAGCATGCTGTTTAGCTGTGGTTACAGATCAGTCATTCACATCGGAGGGCAATAATTGTGCTGACGGCTTGTAAGGCAATGGAAGTACATAAAATAATCCTGGGCCCTCTACCATGGCACTGTGAGTTAATCTTCTCTAATACAGATCAGCTGTTGTTCTAACACATGACTTTATGCTGGCTCCAGTGACTCTGCACAGCCTTTTGATTAAGTAGCAGGAGTGGAACCATCTGCATTCACTTTATTCCATATTCGTCCATTGTTAGGGACTTTATTTCCCATTCTTGTTCCACCTCTGCAGTCATACTTTATTTCTCTGATTAGCACCTCCTATTTTGGGTGAGGGGTAAGGGTTGCTTTGTTGAAAGCTACTGCTTCAATTTTCCTTTCTCTCTTGTACAGTTGTAATAACTTAAAAAAAAAAAATCTAGCCTTGAAGTAGTACCCGCTGAAACCTTGACCACTTAAGATGTCTCTTTTCTCAAGAAGGTTATCATTCCTGAATCTCTTCACCATGCATTTTCAATGTAATCAGGTCAAATCTTTTATTTTTATAGAGTTTGTAGTGAAAACTCTTAAATTATGAACATGAAGCTGTTTCATTATTGTAATAGTGTGACAAACATATGTAGTGTGTTAGTAAAGCTCAACCAAAAGACCTGAATTACCTCATTCTTCGTGTTACCTTGACCCTTGAGAATACACTGAGATTGCTGAAGCTCTTTGAAGCAGGTATTGCTAGAGTTCAGTTACCTTTTCCTGTTGAACTAACTTGGGTGTCATTTCCATAATATTAATAATTGATCTATGTCTGTGAAACCCATGAGAAGGAGTTAATATTGTCAAATTGTATCTTTTAATTAAAGATTGTTTAACATTATCACAGACTATGTATAAGGAACTGTTCTTTGTGTGGGAGGTATTGTATTGAACCAGAAAAATACGGCATCTGCTGTCATAGATCTTAAAGTTTAGATCAAATTATTAGTCAACTGATCATTGCATATTTATGTACGTGAGCCCACTTATAAGAATGGAGTAAAGACCGCATATTTCTTAGCATATTAGATCACTTATGCACCTGAGTTAACAAGTTGCATACTCATTTTTCTGCAGGTAGCAATATAACCATGCATATTGTGTTGTTATTTTCTGATTATCTACCTTTTGGTAGATTTTGATAATCACTCAGCTTTATCTATATCCAATGCATTTGTAGATAGGTATAATCGGTTTAACATTTTGCCTCACAGTTCTTAATGGAAGACAAACAATATATGATGAATTCCTCATATTTTTGCACTATTATCTTCTCATATTATTTGTCCTAAAAGGGGGACATTTTTCTGTCTACAAAAATATTCTTAACTGCCTAACCCCCAAATTATGTGAAACATAAGGAGTGGGGCAGATAAAGCAGAAAGAAAGATGGAAAGGAGCCAGGAGAAAGGAAAAGGGGAAAGAAAAAGAATTCAGCCTGTTGCTTTTTATCATTCTAAGAGATGATAGCTATCATAACCTGAGATCCAGGTCACTGGAATCTTACAGTGGGGATCTGTTTGCTTGAGTAACAAACCTTATACATATGAACTTTTCTTCATATCTCAAATAGCCAACATGGTTGTCCCAACTAGAAGGTCTTAATTCTGAAAAGCTGTAATTGGATAGGGAAAACAATTAGAGGTGTGAAGATAGGGACGAATGTTTTTTCAGTGATATGTACCAAAACACATCATGAAAGTCGTTTTTACTGAAACACATTTTAATTGAAGACTTCTAAAAGATTTTTCATTTCTTTACTTTTCTTGGAAGTGTTTCAACATACCCAAGAACTGTGCATGTCAGGTTTCTTGGAAACTCTGGGACACAGTGTTATTTATAATTGTCATCTCTGGTTAATTATAGACTGATTGTATATTCAAATAATGTTATCTTGTACCACACCACTCTTGTTACAGATTAGTGTTGTAGATGAAAAAGTAAACCTCTCAGGTAGAAAAAAAACCAAAAAACAAAAAAACAGGAAAAAAGACTCTTATGCTTTTCTTTTGTAAAAACCACCCACTTTGGTTCATTACCACCTAAATGGTGCAATTCTGAACACAGAATCAACTACATATGAGGTTCTTGACCTTGTGTTTTATGGTATTCATACCTACTATGAGATAATAAAAAAAAAAAATCTCAGTTTTTCTTGTTTTGATACCACCAAGCAATGTTAATACAATAGAGACCCAGGGCACTCAGCCTAAATGAAGAACAGCAGAAACAAATTAAGTCACTATTAAACAAATAGTGATTAATGTTTACCACATTATGGAGTTCAGGAGTAGGAGGTAAGTGACATTAGTTCAGCCAGTCAATGATACCAGGCTTGAAATCTCTGTGATTCTCTCATTTTTTTCTTTGAGTCATGAAATTGTTACTGTACTGTCCCATCCACATTAGGGCAGGCAGACTCAGGAAGAATTTTCCCTTTGCTAAGTATGGTCTTCATTCATATGGGGATGTTTCATTGCCCCTCTCCAGCTGACTTCCACAAACATTGACTAGAACTGGGTTAGTTACACTTTTTTTCCTAAGAATTATTATTTTATTTAACCTTATTTTTTTATTTTATTTAAATTGTGTAGAGAGGAACAGAGTGAGAGAGAGGGAAAGTGAGAAAGCAAGCTGCCAGATCTGGGATTCAAACTGTGGTCAGCTATGTGGGAGTCCAGCACCCTTAATCACTATGCCCACCTGCCAGCTCCATTTGCATATCTTTAAGATAGTTGTTAGCCAAAGGAAAAGAGACTGCTTTAAATTGATCATGAGTTATTTTCTGTAACTGAATTAGAGAACTTATCCTGTCCTCCCTGAGATCAAGGGATATCTTGAGATCAAAGGTGACATTAGCTGGGTGAAAGAGAAGGACCAGAATGGCTATTGGTTGTTAAAAGGCAGTTGTCAGACACACATATAGTAGAAAAATGATAGCAAAGCTATCAAGTATTTCCTTCATGAAACCGATCTGTTTTGATTGATTGATTGATTGATTGATTTAAATTTGCCAGAGGGCACATGCATCTGCAAGAGAGAGACAGGGAAGGGGAGGAGTGACAAACTACCTCCCACAGGGGATGATCACCCCACAATTCCTTCTGGGTTTTTCCTTTTTGGATTTTGGGC